AGTTCTGCTTCTTGCCTCAGACCAGATATACCTCACTGTTCCTTAGCCCTCCACAGAAGGCCAAATCTGGCTCCTGGTGGGACAGGTCTTGCTGAGAAAGCTCAAAGGGTGTGCTGTGGTGTGTTCTGTGGGCTGTTTGGCAACAATTCCCTCCGGCTTTGAGTGGGATTGGGGCAGCTGACCTTCCTCATGTGTGATGCCTGGATGTTTGGCTATGAACATCAGGGGTGCATATGATGAGAGATACCATTGGTTTCTCTCAGACTCCCTGGCATGTTCCTCTTATCTTTATTGCCTCCTCTCAGTGAAAAGCCCCTAACTCCCCTCAAACACTCTCCTGCCCCTCGGCCAGCTCGGCTCCAGCCTTTCTCCCCAAAGACTCACGCGATGCCATCTGGGTGTGGAGGTGGGGAGTCTCCCAGCACTGTATGTGGGTGGAGGAGGGAAGGCCTCCAAGGACAGAGCCCTGAGTAGTCCAATAGCTGGAAGTCATGCTGACGAAGAGGGACCTTTCTGCTTTTGCCAGGCAATTTCGTAAGAATGAGTTCCTTGGTTAAAGGGAATGGACACTATGGTTATAAAAGGATGCCTAGATCCATTTCTGGTCAGCTTCATCAACATCAGAGAATTGGCATTCTATGTTTTTGCTCTTGTTTCTTTAGAATATGTAAATTGTTGTCCTCTGACTGCTTTCATATACACTTCTTTGATTTCTAGTGAAAATCAACAATTTCCCAGTTTGTCTACCAATTGTATTTCTCACGTGGGAATGGTCCTTTTACTTACTTATCTTTTGGCATTCTAACGTTTATTTTACAAATTTAAATTAGCTGTGTATGATAGATCTTGATTATTTATATTGTTTGATAGAAATATTCTCCCCCTTTAAAAATCTTTATTAATGCTAATTTTTATAGTATAATCATTTCAGTTACTTCAAGCTGAGAGAGTTAAGATTCCCACAGAGATTTGATAAATATTTTTTCTAAGTTCTTCCATAATTAAATTTTATATTTAAATCTTTAATCAACCAAAGTTTATTTTCTGCATTTTATTTTAATAGCCTCTTCTATTATAAATGTTTGTTATTGAAAAACAAGAAAATAAAAAAGGAACAAAATGAAAAACATGAGTAGTTACAATTTCACACCCAAAGATAGACACTGTTGACTTTTTCATTTGATTACCTCCAAATCATTTCTCCTGTGTGTATATTTATTTAAAAAAATATAGCCATAGGGGCTGGTACCATGAGAGTAAAAAGCCACAGTCTGTGGGTCTGGCATCCAATATAGATGCTGGTTCAAATTCTGGCTGCCCCACTTCCCCTGCAACTCCTGCTAATGTGCCTGGGAAAGCAGTGCTATTGGCCCAAGGCTTGCGCCACTGCCCTCATGTAAATAAATAAATAAATTTAAATGATGCAGCTATATTTCAATGGAAAGGCAGATTTAGAGAGAGAAAGAGAGACAGAGGCAAAGATCTTTTGTCCACTGGTTCACTGCCCAAGTGGCTGCAATGGCTGGAACTGAGCCAATCCAAAGCCAGGAGCCAGGAACTTCTTCAAGGTCTCCCACACAAGTGCAGTATCCCAAGGTTTTGGGCCATCCTCGACTACTTTCCCAGGCCACAGGCAGGGAGCTGGATAGGAAGTGGAGCAGCAAAGACATGAACTGGTACCCATTTGGGACCCTGGTGTGTGCAAGACAAGGATTTAGCCACTGAGCCATCGCTCCAGGCGCTCCTGCCCCCATGTATATTTGTGCTTTTCACTGACACTGAATAGGTGTGCTCACTCTTTTGTCCCGGTTTTTATCCCTGCTAACATTGCCTTAGGTTCAGGCTAAATTGATAAGCCAAAATTATAAATGCATGTTTTAATTCTTTCACAAGTGGGTTAAAGTTGAATAAATCAGCATGCTGATTTTCTCACTTTTTTGCATATTTCTTCTTCCTGAATTGCTCATTCATGACATTTGTATGTTTTGTATACCTGCTTATATATTTTTATATGTGTAATAGATCTTAAATAATTTTATTTATTTGAAAGGAAGAGAGGAAGAGAATCCGAGGGAGGGAAGAGAGGCATAGAAGAGGAGAGAGGAGGACCCTTTTGTGGTTTGCACCCCAAATGTTTGCATCTGCTAGGGCTGTGCCAGATTGAAGCACAGGAGATGAGACTCAACCACTTTAGCCATTCCCTGCTAGCTCCTATTTGCTGTTCTATCCACCTGTCCCCGTACTATATTTTTTAACTCAGCTGCTCATTTAAGAAAAATTTTTAATGATTTCAAATGCTCCCTAAAGTATAATGAGCACTTACAACATTTCACTATAGATGCATCCTATTATTAATGTGCTGAATATCTACATAAGGACATACTTCTTGGGGCCAGCATAGTGATACAACAGGCTAATCCTCTGACCAGTGGGGCTGGCATTCCATATGGGCAACAGCTCCTGTCCTGGCCGCTCCACGTCCCATCCAGCTCTCTGTTTGTGGCCTGGGAAAGCAGTGCAGGATGGCCTATAAGCCTTGGGTCCCTGCAAACACATGGGAGATCCAGAAGAAGCTCCTGACTCCTGGCTTTGGATCAGCTCTGCTCTGGCTGTTGTGGCTGTTTGGGAAGTGAACCAGCAGAAGCAAAAACCTCTTTCTCTTCTATCTTTATAAAATCTTCTTTTCAAATGAAAATACATAAATTAAAAAAAAAAGACATACTTCTTTCCAAACTTTTTACTTCCTCCCAGGCAGTTGTATCCTGACTTTGGTGTCTACTTCTCTGACTCATGTTTATGTATGTTTGCAATAGAAGTACACAGATAAATATAAATATGTGTACACATAAATATGCTTATACATACATATACCAGATTGTGCATGTTTTAAATCTATAATACTCTACACAATTAGCTGCAACTTATTTATTAATCCAACATGATGTTTTGGGGTTTTACCTCTGTTGATACATGACTTCACACATGAATACATCAGTTTGTTTGTGGGATGATGGCTGCTTGTCTATTTTAATTTTATTTCTTGTTTTGGTGTTACATTGTTTAAATGGACATTGAATAATCCATAAGAATTTCTAGAATCTAACCCTAGAAGTGAATTTGCTGGATTATAAAGTAGGATTCCTTTCAGTACTACCAGATACTGACCATTTATTCTCCAAAAATGGTTATCTCTACAATATGCTTCCAGTTTGCCCATGTCATGACCAGGACTTGAGGATGTCAGATTATTTCATTGCTACCAGTTTGATGGATAAAAATGGAATCTCACTGTTTTCATTTTCATCTTTTTGATTACTGGGAAAGTTGAATAGTTTTATATGTCTGTCATTGGCCATTTAAATATCCTTTGTCATAAATTGTGTACTTTGCCTGTGTTTCAATTAGTTCATTAGTGTTTTATTACTGATTTTAATTATTTGAAGTTATTTGCATTGTAAATATCCTCTTCCAGTTTGTCTTCCCTCCCTCCCCTCCAGTTCACATGGTGTCTTTGTTAAACAGAGTTGTAAATTTTCATATAGTCAGATTTATAATCTTTTTCTTCAGATGTATCTTTTGTGTCTTCATGTTTTCCACTTTTCTTTCCAGTCTCACACATATACAATTCATAACTAAGAATGAAATTCTTTTATAAAAGATATCCTGTGATTGTAATCTTCTGGTATTTGTAGAATTTACTCATCTTGGTAGCTGTGTGCCACTCATTTACCATATAGCTGTATTTAATAGCCCAGTTAAAATATCATATACATGTATATATAGATAGACAATAAGAGATTGAAGATTTTAGAATGTATGTGATGATGACACAACTAAAACTGAAATGAATTTTTCTGTAGAAACCATCATCTCTGGGATACCAATATCCCAATATTTGTTTTCTTTTATACTAGATCCTTTAAAACCCCACATTTACTATCATATTTATTAGTGCTTTATTATTATATGTTTACTGTAGGGTCATAGCACAAAAATAACAGATAAAGAAAGGCAAATAACAAAAATAACCAGAAAACCACGTGCACAGAGGTGACTAGTATTTGTATTACATGTTCATGGCCACTTCAAAAGTAGTTTTGATGCAAACTTTCTTAAAATCCATGTATATTCATAACCTCTGTGTAATTTTTAAGCCTATATGTGTTTTCGTCACAACTCGAATGTCGTCTAAATTTTTGCCTATTTGAATGTATCCTTATTTTAATGTTATCTAATATTTCCCTTTACCCTCCAAAAGAGATGAAGCTTCCCAGTGAAGTTTGTATGTTCTGTTTCTCTTGGCATTTCTACCTCTGCTGACTTTCCATCTGATTTTTAAATCTGTCATCGTAGTCAGGAGCTTCTTCACATGCTTCTCCCACTTTTTGGGCTGAAAGTCTCGTTTACATGCTAGCCACTCTACCAGGTGTTTGTTTTGGGTTTTATGAGTTTCTTTAACTTTATAGCATTTCTGCAACTTTAATACTTTGCATACCCAGGTTTAAGCAGCACACATATTAATTAGTGGGTCTTTTGTTTTAACCCAATGTCAGAAGATGTCCTGAAGTTAAATCTGTGGAGTCATTGGGATGCAAATAGTATCGTGAAATGATGTGGGCCCTCACCTACGGACCGTGGATTTTCCACAGGATTCTGAATTACCCCGCCAGGAGCTACCAGTTTCCTCATGTGTAAAATCCTCCCAGTAAGCACGCCAATCCCCTCGAGTTTCTGTGAAGATGAAACAAGCTCTTAAGGATGGAAGTGTATGAGCCTTGCATATCATTAGGATAGCGACTTGTAAAATATAACTGTCATGACCGTTTTTTGCTGTCTTAGACATCACTTCTGGAATCCTCACTCAAAGCAGGTTTCTGGGTAGTAACTAATAAAGTAAGTTGGTTACAGAAAACATCTATACTGCAACTGGGGCTAATCACACCTATGTTTTTCTCTAAATAGACCTCAAATTTCTCGTGAATTTCATTAGAGTAACTTACAACAGGAAGTTCTGAGAAGCAGGCTTCAGTTCAGTTTCTCTTTCTCTTCTTCTCTGGCTGCAATGCACAGTGTCACAGCTCGATTCAAACTCAGTAGTCCTGGGAACCACTGCTTTGCTTTCCACTTAGTTCACTGAGTACCCAGACGGTACAGGTCAGGTGTCTTTATGCCCATGATAGACCTGGGAGCTGCCAGCTCCATTGTGTCCATCAAGAGTGGAAAAACGGAAGCAACAGCAGCAGCATCAGAAAGCAAGATTTCATACTTCCTGGATTGCGTAACATGCTCATCCAGTGACGCTGGAATCTGGAGAGGCTCTCTGTCCCTTATACCACAAGAACCTCGATGTCAATCAAAGTTGCGTGGAATGCAGCCAAGCTTATTCACTTCTGCTCCCAGGGTCAAACTGGAGCAGACAGCACAGCTAATCAAAAGGAAGGTCTGGTATTTAAATGAGAGTTTGCTTTTAGATTTCCAGTGTGTTCTTAGTATTTTAGGATCTGGAGTTCCTTAAATTAGACAATGCTCCACTGCCACACAGAGAGCCGAACAGCCTAGAAGATGATGATCTGACAAAGTCCAGGATGATGTGATTTAATTTTAGTTGCATCAACTGCAAATCTCTGTTGGCATCTACCCATTCTGTCAGAAGAATATGGGGGTGCATTTCCAGCCTGATGCAGTAGAGCAGTTTTCTGAAATTTCTCTGACAGCTGTCATGTGGGCTCTTGTTCAGCAAAGGTTCCAAGCCCCTCCCCACAGATTTTTTTCCCTGTTTATGCTCACCCTGGGAGGCAACAAATGAGACGCAAACACTCCAGTCTCTTCACCCACATGGGGGACATAGATTGAGTTGTAGTCTGTTGGCTTTGCCTGGCACAGCCCTGGCAGTGGAACAGGCAAATGGCCTGTGAATGAAAGAGATCCCTCCCTCCCTTCTGTCTCTTACTCTCTTTCAAATAAAATGTAAAGACATCAATAAAAATGCTTCTTATATGACAATGCAATAATGTAAGACGTATTACAAGAATACTTATATAGGAGAATGGAAAAAATCAGTGAATTCATAAATGAAACCATACATCAAATACATTTTGTACCTTTTTTTCCAATTGTAAGCCAGATATTTGGCTTGAAACTCTAGCATTCATTGCAAACCCTCTGCAAACAAAACATATTGGTGAAAATCCACAAGTCAATTATCAGGATGATCTCAGCTATTGGGCTTCGAATAGAACATCTAGAACTTTAATTTTTCCATTAGCCCTAGATGTTGGGTTCTAAGCAGCGTTAGGGTCTTTAAAAATCTACAGAGGATAAAGCAACATCATGTAAAATGGTGTGCACTCTCATTTTCTAGCAGCCAAATACAAATGGATCAGGGAATAAGGAAGCCTCTTGCTTTAGAGGAGATGATAAGTGTGGAAGAGCTGGCCCAGGGATCAGCCAACCCTGTAGTCCAGCAGCTGTAACCATAGCAACAGTACTGATGGCTGCTCTGCTCCTACCAGCGATGGTACCTTGAAGAGATGGCAGCTAAGTGAGGGGCCATCACACCTGTGGGCTGGGCTCTTGTGGAGGCAAGTTTATGTAATTTTAAAGCATAATCACCGGTTCAGGATAAACAGCTGTTTTTACGTTAACTTTACAAACCCAAATCCAAAAAGCAAAGGCAAACATCCAGCAGTCCATCCAGGTGGAAGCAGCAGTGAGTCCCTTGCACTGGAACCTGGGAGCCTGCCTCAGCTTTGCTTTATTTTTATTCTGTCTGCTTTCTAGGAACAGTGATGCACAGGGCTTTCAATAAGACATGCCCAGAGGAGAGTTGCTTTTGAAGCTACCACTCTTGTCTGCCTCATTCATTTCAAACAGAGATGCTTCTCAAAGAGATAAAGGCCTGTGTACACACAACAATGCCCGCTGCATCCCCTTGCTGTCAGCCGTGATGTGGTGGTTTTGATTCTACAAGCAGCTGCCTTGTTTCAGGCCCTGATTGATGGTTCTTGTGAATGAAGGAGGCACGAAGCACAAATGAGCAAGGCACCCAGGAAGGCAAGGCACTTCAAGGGAATAGGCTTGAAAGCACTTCCAGTACAAGGTAAACACAAACCTCCACAAAAGTAAAGAATTCTGAGAGGCATCCAGCCATTCCTGGTTGATCATTTGCAGTTCTTAAGGATTTCCATATGTTTGTGCAAACATGTCTAGACTCCTTGGAGACATCTGACCTGGGATTGTCGACATTCTGGTGCAAGGGGAAGAAGGGTAAACCCATACAGATGTCATTGAGCAGAAAAACTACTTGTAGTGAAGAACCCAAGGGGTCTGCGTCAGTCCGCAGCAGGGAAGGAATATAGAGTATTGGAATAACTAGTAAAGAGACATCTCTACCAAGCAAAGACAGGTGAGTTTTGCACCAGAAAACATGGCAGACCCCATCAAGGCTCCTTATAAACACAGGGGGTAGTGGTAGCTCTAAGAGATGACCCTTCTCTTACAATAACTCTTCTCTTTCCTTTTTGCTAAATGGAAACAAACATATGAACAGACAAAAGGAGCACTGTAGCCATCATGATCACATTGGCACAAAAACCCATTGGACGCCCTGCAAGAAGCCGGCATTCCTCCTGACCTGTGTGGGCACGTGGAGCAGGCTGTGCACACGGGGCACGGTAGAGGGATGGTGAGAGTGGCAAGGCAAAGGTGGGAAAATTCTGCAAAGTGGGAATCCTGGTGTTCAAAGGGGCTTTTAGACATTATATCCTCATAAAGATAACGTTTATCGGCAGGCTGGTCTTCTATTATTTAATCAAATTAGGGGCAGTGTCTCAGTTTCATTGAAAAAGTGTTGATCAGACCACACACTCTCAGTGGCCCCCTCCAAAGCATTGCTGTGTTGTTGTTGCAAGCTTTGCTCACAGAGCCCCAGTTTTGATTGGGAATCTTTGTGCCCCTGTTGTGATTTAGCCCAAATATCAGGCCAGAAGTTGGGAACACAGCAAGCAAGCTTGAAGACCATGTCTATGATCTTCACAGTCTGGCATGGCACCCAGCAAGAGGCAGATAGTCTGGGTGACCTTGAGCCAAGCCAGGGTCCTAAGCCCTCTTTGCCTGGTAGCAGAAAGGGAAGTCAGATTTGAAGTATGAGAGAGCTGAATGCACTGTTGCTGCATTTGAAGATGGATGGGGCCCTGGCCAAAGAGAAAATGTGGTCTTGGAGTTAAGCGTGACTCCTGGTTGGGAGCAGCAGGGCAGTGGGCGGCTCAGTCTTGTTCAGTATGGAGCTGTGTTCTGCCAACATCTGAACGAGTGTGAAAACAGTCTTGCTGGAACCTCCACGGGAATTCAGCCCAGCTAACATCTTGGGCAGAGAACACACACAAGCCTTCCTGGACTCTGGGCCTACAACCACGAAAACATACATGGGTGTTCTCTTACACTTCAGTCTGTGTTTGTTTATTACAGAGCAGCCATGAGACTGGGATCTGCCTTGGCCTGGAGCAAATAGAGCTACTGCAGCCTTTTTATACCCATGAGGATGGCAGTAGAATGCAAAGGAAGATTGTTGTTGTTTCTTTTTCATGGCCATTTTGAGCTAAGTTGTCAATTCTGGATTTGCCTATGATAGCATCTCCTGTCATGTAATATGATTAAGTATCTTTATGGTATAGGTCTCGGGTTTTTTTTTTGTTGGATTCTGTGTTGCCTGAAGTGAAACACATTCTTACTAATACGTTGCCCTTCCTGTTAGAGCCTGTGTAAGCAGGCTGTCAAGGGTAGAGCCAGTGTAGACATTGAGGATGAGTTTTTTTTGTCCCAGGGAGGAAAGGTGTTTAGGGGCACGAACACAAGTAGCTCTTGGGTGATATCTGGAACAATTATATACAAGTGAGGTTGACGCAAACTAAAAGACTTTCATTGTGAGATGTTTTTTGACTCTGCCATTTCCTGAGATTCCTTCCTGGCACAGAAAAGCTTAGGTGCTACACTAAGTTCTAGTCGTATGAGCTGCAACTGTGCATCTACACTTAGTAGGCCTCAGTTTACTCCCCTGCAAAGTGGGTATAACAAGGCCTTTTGTTACTTGTTTTTATGGGGATTGGATTTGATTGTAGAGGTGAACTAGCCTTGGTTGTGGATGTGAACTTGAGAGCACAGCTCTGCTATAATGGGAGAGCCTGCTTTGATGCCTGGCATAATAGGTGTCCTCACTAAATACTTGTTGAGTTCATGTGCTGTGTCTGTTTATCCATGTCAGAGGTGTTTGCATTGCCCTGGCAGCCTGAGGGCTGGGCTGTCAGCTGACTGATTACTCTGCATAGTACACACTGCAGATAGCATTTAAAGGGACTTATTTAATGCTTTCTTCTTGGCAGGGACGTATTAGATCACCACAGCCTGGATGGAGGATTTAGCTTTTGTTTTCTATGCATTTTCCACTAAATATGCTCTGACAAGATGTCTGTTTTGATCAGGGATGCTGTCCGTTAATTCCTCTCTCATCCCGACATTCTCTGTGATGGAGGGTATGAAGACATCTGTTGGCTTTAACCTATCTCTGTTGGGTGAGGTAGCTTGGCTACTCTCGACAGGGCTGGGTCCAAGGTAGGCAGACCCCCTGTGAATTCCCAGGCTGCTGAATCAGTTCTCCAGCAGGCGACAGGTGGTGCCTTTGAGACGTGGTGGGGCAATAGCAGAGAGTCACACCTGGTCTGTCAGAGCCTCCTTCTGCCAGACAAACACTGTAATTATTTGCTTCTTCAGCTTTGCTCCCTGTCACACCACCCACTTTCCCAGATCCTCATTCATGGTTCCACATTCCGTGACATCCACGTAGATAGCCTGTATGCTTTCGGCTTCTGTTCACTGTCAGAATGTAGCTTGCCTGACACTGGTTCTGCCTGGTTCTGGTGTTCTGGTTTCCATGTCACACTAGGCATGGCATTTGCAAAGGCTCTAAGGAAAACAAAGCGTTGTCTCTGAGAAAGGCTTGTTTTAGATTTCTCCCCAGAGGGAATTATTCTGAATTAAGATCAGCTGCCCAGGAGCTGGGACACATGATACTGTGACTGGAGAGACTGCAGTTCTTTATGATGTAAGGAGGAATTGAGAAGTGGAAACATACCCTTGAAGTACAATGAAGCAACACTGATGGAAATAGGGTGAAAAGGTGTGAGCTCACCAAAGAAAATGCAGGTGAGATAAGGAAAAGGAAAGAACATTCTGAAATGAGGATGCAGAACAGGCTGCCAGCAATGGG